AGATAACATTTTGCATTTATTTGTGTGGCCACTGGACCAATGTCTGTCATTTGCATTAGACTCTAAACACCATGAGAACAGAGACCTTGTCTGCATTTTGCTCATCCCAGTTTCCCCAATGCTTAACTCAGTGCCTGACACAAATTTGGATTTAATAAACACATATATTTTAAATAAATAAGCAAGCCAAACTTGGCCTCTTGATGAAATCCACTAGTTGTTCATGTTCTGCCCTCTAGAACTCCTCAAAGCATTCTGCTCCCTCATTCCCAGGACAACTCTCAGGGGTTTGCAGATGCTCTCAGAACCCCCATTCTTCCCTCCTCAAGGCTGAGCAGCCACTGTTCCTTATAGGAGGTTGCCCTTCCAGGCCCTCCACATCCTTCTCTGGACATGCTCTGATTGTGTAAGGCCTGGAAAGGGACTCAACACTGAGGGACAGAATTTTTCAAAAGTGATTTGCTCAGCACTATCTTTGGGCTCTTACTTAGAAATTCTTTCTGGCCTTTGTCTCTGGAAAAGAGAGAGGGAAGCAGCAGGGAATTTCATAGAGGTCATCAGGAATGAGCAAGCAGCCACGTTCCTTTCTTCTGCCCTCAGACACTGAGGGCCTGTGGCCTGTGAGGTTACCTCCAAACTTACTTGCAGAGCTCCATTTTTCCATCCACCCAGGCCTGAGGACAAGCTATGGCAGTGACACCAAGAAAGGGAAACATGAAGAAAAAGGAAAACATATGCCCCACCTCCATCAAAGAGCACAGTCGGAGTCTAATGTTTTAGTTTTCTCTCTGCCCGGCCCAGGTATCAGCAAAGCTGGCTGTGCCTTAGAATCAGGTGAGGGGCTTATTATAGAGTCAGATTTCCAGGCCTCACCACTGAAACTGAGGAGCCAGAGGGTGTGCAGCTATCTGCCTGGGAGATTCTGATTCTGGAGTCAGGGAAGGGTTGTGGTGGTTGTCAGAATTCTGACTGCCAGCCTGGCTTGGAGATCATTGGTTCATTCTGGCCTTATCACTGTGTGTGCACAGATGTCTGCTGAATTGAAATGAAACCTTCAACCAACCGGGCAGGATCCTGCTTTGTGTAACTTAACTATGAAATATTTGGGCTCAACCCCCTACCATTCAGAAGTGCTTCAAAACCAGGGCACTTTTCATTTCTCTGGCTCCTCTCCCCGAGGGGATACATAAGTGGCAGGCTGGGGCAACTGCCCACAGAGGTGCCTACTCTTGGTCACCAGAGTTAAAGATCTGGTTTCTGGTTCACACAGGCCCAGTTCCAATCCTCGCTATTCCATTTATCCTTTAAGTGGCCTTGTTGTTCTTGTTATGTGCCGTCGAGTCGGCCCCAACTCATAGCGACCCCTCCTTGGGTTTCCAAGGCAGTATCGCTACGGAAGTAGGATTGCCCAACCTTCATTCCGAGGAGTGGCTGGTGGGTTTGAACCACCAGCGTTCTGGTTAGCAGTCAAGTGCCTTAGGCACTATGCTACCAGAGCTCCCTTAAGTGGCCTTAGCATTGTCCTAATCTTTCTAGGTTTCAGATTTCTCCATCTGTAAAGGAGGGATGTTAATCATGGAACCTGCTCATAGGGGTGTTCAGAAGCTGACAAGAGATAATACATGTAAAGTCCAGCATATGTTTGATGTTCAATGAAAGTAGTTGTGTGCCATCCAGTCAATTCCAACTCAGAGAGACCCTTTGTGACAGAGTAGAACTGTTCCACAGAGTTTCCTAGGCTGTAATCTTTACAAGGTCAGATTGCCACCCAGGTCTTTTGTTCCATATAGCAGCTGGTGGGTTCAAAACACTGACTTTCATTTAGCAGCCGAGGACCAACCCATTGCGCCACCAAGGCTCCTTCAACCAGTTACCATTATTTATATTTTAGTCTAGAATTCCTAATAACAGCTATTTGTTAAAAGTCTTCAGTGCAAGCAGAAGGGCCAAATGTAAAAGCCCAGTGTTTCAGATCATGCTAGCCTGATTCATCTATCTGTTTTAACTTATGTTTCAGGAATTCCAGGTTTTTTCCCTAGCTCTGCTTTGGGAACAGAAACATAAATGTTTAGTGCCAAAATGGACTCTGAGATCCTCTGGTCCAACCCCTCATTTTACAGATAGGGAAGAAACTGAGCCCACCATTAGTTAAATGACTTGGTCAAAGCCACTCGATTAGATCTGAAGTCAGAGCAGGGAGTAGAACTCAGATTTCTTGTTCCTAGACAACTGTGGTCTTGCACACTAGACCAGGCTGCCTCTGCAATTTAGAGTATACTTAAAACCCTTTTAAGTGGAAACATTAGGAAGAGATAAAGCCCTTGTGTTCTTATTCCTTTTCTTCTCCTCAGTCAGGGTCACGGTCACATAATACCAGACTCCATAAATCTTTTTCTTTTTTTTTTTTTTGTCTTTGGCTTTGAATCCAGTAAACAGCCTGCAACAAAGACCAGCCTCAGGAGAGATTTGTGTGGTAGACGTTCTCCCTCTAGTGGAAGGAGTGAAGATGACAGGCAGAAAGTGAAAAAGGGGTTTCCATCTACTGAGACTAGCTGTCCAGGAGTCTGATACTGTTGATGGACCAATGGGATCCAACCTGCCCTTGAACCACTCAGCCTTCCTCTCCTCATTGTAACCCTAGTCCTGCCAGATCCTATTGTTACATAAAATTCTGGTATTTTGTTCATCATCATTTTTTAAATTTTTTTTTGATTTTTTTAAAAAAATATTGCACTAAAATATATATTGAGTTCACCCCTCATTTCTCAAATGAGCCACCTGAGGCCTGGCAAGCAGCTGGGCTGACCTGTAAAGGCAGGTCTGGTGCTCTCTACACTGTCATTATCAGAGCTGCAGATGCTGCATACCTTCCCCAGGAGGGGACAGCTGCCTTTTAAAGTGTGTCTCATGAGAAAAAAGATCCTGGGACTGACGGTGATTTTCTTGCATAAAGATACACTGGGTTTGTGGTCTTCATCGATGCCTACAACTGGAAGACCTAATGATAGGCCCTAGTTGCTGAGGTCCACAGTAAGCAGCCTGAGCTAGGAGGAGGGGCTGATACCCACATGCATCTGTGAAGGCCTCCTCAGAATACCTTCCTGTCTGGGCCTCATCCCAGGCTTCATCTGTGAGGACCTCATGTGGCTCAACAAGGAGGCACCCACCCTCAGATGGGATAGGGGAGAAACTTACCCTTATCTTTGCCATGAGCTGCCTACCAGACACCCCCTTAACCCTATCACCCACTTCTGCCTTACCTGCCATAGATCCAGCTCTTCTACTTCACCATTTCCAGCAACTCTGGACCACATCCACTGAAGACAAGACCCCAGCCCTGGCTTCGGAAGGTCTCAGCTTCCATCTGCTCCAGCCCTCAAAGGGTGTTGATTATTCCCCACCCCCACCCCACCCCACAGCCCTCCCTTTAGATTCCCTGGCAAGGGGCCAAAGGGAACAGGGGCATAGGTCAGTCCCAGAAGTGGCAACCGCAGAGCTTTGGGGTCCTGTCCATCGTGATCAGGCTGGATTTATTATCAAGGTGATGAAGGGTTAAGTCAACTGCCTTCAAATGCCTATATCCCAGGGAAAGGAAGTGGCTTAAGGTGCTCCTAAAAAAATAATAATAAATGAACTGTTCACAGACTAAGATGCCCTTTGAGCTCAGAAGCTGGGCCTTCCTATTAGGGTGCTGGGCAGGGTCCCAACCCATACACTGATCCGCTTGGGCCGCAAGCCCCTCCCTAGGCTGGGCTGGGCCCTCTCTTCAACTCACACCAATCCTATGCTTTTTGTGGCCTGGCAAGAATGGAATTATTCTAAATAAAGCCTGTTTCTCCATTTATAGAGGGGGGCTACTCCTTCCAGGACCACCTTGAGCAGCACCATCCCTAAGGGCCCTGTTGGTCCCACCTCTACAACTAGAGGTGGATCAGATCAGCTGTTGGGGAGCTGGGCTCCATCAGCAGTTTCCCTGGATCTGGAGCCCTCTCAGCACCAGCTACTTTGTTCAGTGACTTCTATGTCCCTCAGATCCCTGCACCCTGGAAACACCTAGAAACAGATCCATGTGTGTGAGACCCAAGCAGTGGCTCTCAGGCATGCATCACAACATCCTGATGTAGCTCACTGATTAGGAAGTGGCCCACAAGTGATTTGTAATTAATAACAGTGATTATGGCTATGAATGACATGACTTTGACACATATGAGTTGAGCAAATTTAAGGTTATCCCTATACTAAAATGCCATGCTCACTCTTGCATTCAGATACGCTGTCTTGAGTGAAATGAACTCTTAGCCATGGCCTGTGAGCTTCTGTATTAGCCGGCCATTGTTGGCTTCCAGCTCACACCTCCTGTCTCTCTTCCCCTTTTTCACTTCACCCAGGCCCTCTGGCCTTTAGCAGTTTCTCAGACATGCTAAGCTCTTGTCTATCTACCTCAGGCCTCGTCCTCCTTTGTCGGCTGTCTCATGTTTCATATCTTCCTGATATTGACTGGGAATGGATTTGGAAGACCCTTCTGTGGGGCTGAAAATATTCTTGATCTGCATGGAGGGTACAATGTGTGTAAAAATACACTGACCTGTCCACTTAAGATGCATAGACTTCACTATGTGTATGTAAATAAACCTAAAAAAAATAAAATCTAAAAAAATTTCAACCTTTTCCCTGTCCCCTGCCATTCCCGCTACTCTCAACCATGGTATTATGTTTATTTCCATCCTGGTACTTCTCACAGTCTGTAATTATATTGTTTCTTTACTTGCAAACTGTCTCCACCACTAGAATGTAAGCCCATGAGGGCAGTGAATGGATAGATGGATGGATGAATGAAAAAGCTTGGATTTAATGATGGAGGGATAAAGAGACAGAGGAGGTCAGCCTGAAGGCAGAAGCTCCTGACTCCCAATCCTCAGCAGCCTGTTTAGGGGTCTAACTCTGTAAACACAAGTCCAGAAACATGTTCCCTCCTCGAGGGTACTCAACATGAGTCCCATCTACACCTCATTGGGGTCGTCCTGGTCGGCGTAGATGAGGAAGCCCGTGAAGAGGCTGTCGGTCCAGTAAGGGTCATAGAAGAGCCCATTCTGCTCCGAGTAGAAGATCTGCAGCCAGACTTCATCACCCTGCTTGAGAGCCAGGATGGTGGAGCCTGAGGCCACATCATGGTTGCCTGTGTTGGCATCAAAGGTCCGGATGCGGTACTGACCATTATGCACCAGGCCGATGGCCAGGTGCTTATTGGCCAGTGTGATGTCATAGGTGAAGTAGTAGATCCCTGGCACACCACAGACAAACTTGCCACTGGATGCATTGTAGTGGCCACCTTCATTCATCAGGATCTTGTCAAACTTGATGGGCAGGCGCTCCCGTGGGTAGCTCTTGGTCACTGCCACAGAGAAGGCAGACTTGGCATGGCCACTGCCACAGCTGCAGGGGCCTGGGAGGCCTGGCTCCCCCTTTTTGCCTTTGGGCCCCTTCTTGCCTGGTGTGCCATGCTTTCCTGGGGCACCACTGATTCCCTTGGGGCCGCGAGGGCCAGCCCGCCCAATGGCCCCAGCTTTGCCCTTTGGTCCTGGCTTTCCTCGGTTGCCTGTCCGGCCAGGTGGACCTGGAAGACAGAGTAGCTAGTGTTACAGAGGTGCTCTCAGAGCCTGGCTTTCCATCTTGGAGCAGAAGCCCTTGGGTAATGGAAAAACAGGAAGGCTTTGGAGTCACATAGATATGAGTACAAATTCTGATGGTATAACCCGAGGTACTTCCCTCCAGTCTTATCTGGAAAGTGAGAATGGTAATACTTACTTTCTAGAATCACTGTGGACCAGGGCAAAAACAATAACTTATGACAAGTTATTTCCTGCCTTCTAAGAAAGACTCTGGCTTCACTGGGCTGTGCTGGTGATGGGCTGAGAACTGGAAGCAACCTCTTGACTTCAAACCACTGATCTTAGTGAAATCCCTGACTAGTGAACAAGATCCTGGCCCACATGTACAAGGGTTTTATTGCAGCATAGCTTGCAGTAGCAAAAACTCACTGCCATTGAGTTGGAACTGACTCATAGCCACCCCTCCTTGGGTTTCCGAGGCAGTATCACTATGGAAATAGATTGCTCAACCTTCCTTCCAAGGAGTAGCTGGTGGGTTTAAACCCCCAGCCTTCTGGTGAGCAGTCACATGCCTTAGGCACTACATCACCAGAGCTCCTTAACAAAAACTAGAAACAACTAAATGCCCATCCAAAGGGAAATGACTAAAAAAACATGGTCTATTCTTATTATGGAATTCTATGCAGCAGTTGAAAAAAGATCTACAGGTACTACATGAAACCTTCTCTAAAATATACTGTTAAGAGGAAAAAGAAGGTAGAAGAACTCTTTATATTAAAAGGAAAGCACAAAGCTCCATATTACATTTCTATACCATTTAAGTGCATAAAAGAGTGCCTAGACCATAGTGAATATTCACTAAATGCTAGCTGGCATATCTTGCAGAACATTCCCTTCAACAATGTTTCCCATAGAACACCTTTTAGTTTTCAGTATCACTGCTATAGATTGAATTATATTCCCCAAAAGGATATATAACTTCTGGTACCTTGTCTGAATATAGGATCACTGGAGATGTTATCAGTTAACATAAGGTCATACTGGGGTAGGGCGAGACCTAATCCAAAATGAGTGATGTCCTTTTAAAAGAGGAGAGGAGACACACAAGGGAAAAACAGCCACGTGAAGACAGAGGCAGATATTACACTGTGGTCTACAAACCAATATCGCAGGCCAGGCCATCACCAGTGATAGGACAGAGACAGGAAACAGATTCTTTCCCTCAGAGCCCTCAGAAGCAAGGCCATGCCCTGATTTCACACTCTTACCCTCTGGATCTGTGAGGCAATACATTTCTGTTCTTATAAACTACTCAGTTTGTGGTGCTGTGTTACAGCAGCCTAAAAAATTAATCATTTGTATTTTATAAAATGCACATTGCTTTCAATACATTTTTAGCCAACAATTATATAGGGAAATTTTATGTTTATGTTCTTGAAGCTCAATACAACATTTTAAACATAAGATGTATGGGGAAAGACATGAGTAACATCCAAATGCAATTGGTAAATGGTGGAATGGGGAGTAGATGTTTTGAGAAGCCTGCCGAATGCCAATCGAGGGGCCTGCTTCTTGAAGGTTGCTGATGCTAAAGAGCATCCCAGCATCATTTAACAGCTACATGGGTTGAGTGATCAGGAAGTCACAATTTAGGCATTTTATACCCAAATAAGGTACTTTGTTTCTTATATGAATATGTATTGTGTTTTAGAATTTGAGATGAACATGTAATTCATTTTATTTTTCTCCATTTAAAATAATTAGGAATTACCAATTAGCATCTTCTCACTTAACATCAGGAACAGATTGCTTGCATTAAGTGCCTGGTAATGCCTGCAAAAGACCCCTTCAAAGAGTTAAAGAGCAAAGATGTCACTTTGAAGACTAAGGTACCTCTAACCCAAGCCATGGTATTTTCAATTGTCTCACATGCGTGTGAAAGCTGGACAATGAATAAGGAAGGCATAAGAAGAACTGATGTATTTGAATTGTGGTGTTGGCAAAGAACACTGAAAATACCATGAACTACCAGAAGAACGAACAAATCTGTCTTGGAAGAAGTACAGATTCTTGCTCCTTAGAAGCAAGAATAGCCACACTTTGTTCCACATATTTTGGTCACTTTGTCAGAAGGGACCAGTCCCTGGAGAAGGATATCAAGCCTGGTAAAGTAGAGAGTCAGAGAAAAAGGGGAAAATTCTCGATGAGATGAATTGACCCAGTCAGTGGCTGCAATGATGGACTCAAGCATTGCAAAGATTGTGAGGATGGCGCAGGACCGGGCAGTGTTTCGTTCTGTTGTACATAGGGTTGCTATGAGTTGGGGCCAATTCATTGGCCCCTAGCAACAACAATGCTTGGATTGCTATGTTGTTGTTGTTGTGTGTCCTCGAGTCGGACCTGACTCATAGCGACTCCTTCTTGGGTTTCCGAGGCAGTACCACTACGGCAGTAGATTGCCCCATCTTCCTTCTGAGGAGTGGCTGGTGGGTTTGAACCGCCAGCCTTCTGGTGAGCAGTCAAGTGTCTTAGGCACTATGCTACCATATACATTTGTAAATACACAGAAAAAGACCAGGAAAGACATACATTTAACCAATGAATAGTGGTTACCTCTGGAGGATGAGGGGAGGATGGGAAGGGTTAAGTAAATAATTTTGCTTTATTTGTATTGTTTGAATACATTATAATGAGGATGTATTTGTGCATTACTTATATAAGTAAATAAAAAGAATGGGAAAAAAGGACAAAACTAAGAAAGATCATGAGGAGTTCTGGTGGTTAAAACATTGGGCTGCTAACCAAAAGGTCAGCGGTTCGAACTCAACAACTATTCCACGGGAGAAAGATGAAGCAGTCTATTTCTATAAAGACTTAAAGCTTTGGAAACCCTGTGGGGGCAGTTCTACTCTGTCCTACAGGGTCACTATGAGTTGGAATCAACTCAAAGCAGTTGGTTGGGTCTTTTTTTTTGGGGGGGGGGGAATCACAAATTTTTTCCTTGAAGAAAAAAAGCAAATAAACAAAAGGCCGAAAAGAGAGTAGAGAGGAGTAGGAGGAGTAAAAACAGAATCCTGTTGGATTAGAGATTTTCTTGGGAGAGTAAAATAGATAAAGAAATGTATCAGAAAGCTCTACTGTGTATTATGTGATATGCTTCCTTTTTGAGAGACTTCAGCAAAAGATAACTTTAGCAAAAGTTAACTTAAATTTTCAACACCATTTTGGAGATAAATATATATGTGTGTGTGTGCACATGTGTTGGAGGTAGTCTGGATGTTATGATGTATTATGACTGATCCCAGAGTGGCCCAGCTTTACCTGGGTTACACATGTCAGAATTCTCTCCATCTGTCAGCACTGTCTTCATTAGTGTGTTGGCTTAATTCTTATTTTTAAGTTTTAAGAGTTCTTTTTATACCCTGGAAACAAGTCTTTTATCAGATATGTGTTTTACAAATACCTTCACCCAATTCTGCGGTTTGTCTTTTCATTCTCTTAACATTGTTTTCTGCAGAGTAGAAGTTTTTAATTTCAATGAAGTCCAACTTATTAATTTTTTCTTTTATGAATTGTGGTTTTGATGTTTTATCTAAAAACTTATCTCCATACCCAAAGCCACCTAGATTTTCTCATGTTATCTTGTGGAAGTTGTATAGTTTTGTGTCTTGCATTTAGGTCTATGATGCATTTTGTGTGTGTGTGTGTGTGTGTGGAAGATGTAAGTTTTCTGTATAGATTTATGTTTTTACATGTGGATGTCTAGTTGTTCCAGCACCATTTGTTAAAAATGCTACTCTTTCTCTATAGAATTACCCTTACTGCTTTATCAAAATCCAGTTGACTATATTTGTGTGGAAGTTGGCTTAATTCTCAGAGATTCAATGTGTGGCAGGAAAAATGGCCAATGGCAGGCCCAAACCTACATCTTCATGGTTCCTGACCAAAAGAAAAACTCATCAACAGAAATACCCTCTCTCCTGTATGGCAACTCATAGGGAACACTCCAGTTGGCCCTACTTTGAGTGCACGTCCTGAATGTAGCAATGAATCTACTATTGAAGTCAGGGGAAGGGGATACCATAACATCTAGTGTCTGGCCCTCTGTAAGATGTCCTCAAACCAAAGCTATTATCATTGTTACTTTTATAGCTGTTTTTCTAGGAGGAGATGCTTTTGGAGAAGTTAGTTTGGTGTGGTAGGAAAAGTTTTTGATTTGGAGTCTGCTACTAGGTTGTCATGTTAACTCAGCAAGTCAATTAAGGGCTGAATAACATTTATTATATGTTTGCTGGTGCGTCACAAGTTATTTCATTTAATCTTCATGATTATTTTGTGAGGTAGATGCTATTATTATTCTTATTTTGTTGTTGACCTGACTCATAGCGACACCTCCTTGGGTTTCTAAGGCAGTATCACTACGGAAGTAGATTGCCCCATCTTCCTTCCGAGGAGTGGCTGGTGGGTTTGAACCGCCAGCCTTCTGGTTAGTAGTCAAGTGCCTTAGGCACTAAGCTACCAGAGCTCCTATTCTTATTTTAGAGATGTGGAAACCGAGGTTTGGAAAGAGGATAAGTAATTTGCCAGAATTTGTATCCAGGTTTGTTTCCAAAGTTCAAGTTCTAATTAAGAGATGGGTTTGATATGGGTGAAGGGGTTTTAAAAAACATACAATAATAATACATTAAAAAAAAAGAAATAAGATTAGCTATTAGTTGATAGTTTTTGAAGCTAGGTGATGGGCACATGGGGGTTCATGGTACTAGTCTTTGTTTCTGTTTGATATGTTTTATAAGACTTTTTTTTTTTTTTGAAATAAACAAAAAACAAAGTTCAAGTTATGAAGCTAGGCATGCTATTCCCAACTTAATCACTCATTTTGTTTCTTCATCTGTAATATGGATATATTAAAAGTATCTCCTCCACAGGATGGTATTGACAGTTAGATGAGCAATGCACTTGAAAATACCTTATCAATATTAAAATAACAAATAAGTTATTACAATTTTCCTGCTGCTTAAAATGTACAATTGGGGATGCTGCTGACACTGAAAACTTCTTGGTAGTGGGGATGAGAGTTCAGAAATATAAGAATGTCAAGTTGAAAGAGCCTAAAGGAGCACCCACTCTGTCTTCTGTCTGCCTGCATCCCTTCCTTTAGTGGACCACCCTTCATCACTTCACGGGGTTTCCACTGAGGATGTCAATCACACAATGACTAACTCCCCTCACTGCCTACTCGCACACCCCTAGGAGTAGGCATATGAACCAGCCTTGGAAAGTCATGGAATCTCATCTCCAGGGAAGCACACATGACCCATGCCCTACCTCCCCATGCAAAAAACCAAAAAAAACCCACTGCTGTCAAGTTGATTCCAGCTCAAGGCAACTCCATGTATTACAGAGTACACCTATTCCTCACTTATTGACTATCTCATTATCTGATATTTCATATTTATGACAGTAGTGAAAAATCTACTATCCAACTATTTTGCATATCAAAAACATATATCTCGCAGTAACACATGCCAAGGTGCAAGGAAAAAGTAACAGTGGCTGTGATGGTTAAGGTTATGTGTCAACTTGGTTGGGCCATGATTCTCAATGGTTTGGCAATTACATAATGATAATTTGGCAGTTATGTAACGATGTAATTTAGCAGTTATATAATGATATAATTTGTCAGTTGTGTTATTATGTAATTATACTCCACTATGTGATCTGATGTGGTCATTCTCTATATTCATATAATACCAATTTTTGCATATGGAGCTGGTCTTTGGAATCTAACAATGATAAAAGAGGAACGAGTGAAGAACCCCTCTATAGGGTTTTCTTGGCTGTAATCTTTACAAAAGCAGATAGCCAGGCCTTTCTTCTGCAGTGCTGCTGGGTGGGTTCAAATTGTCAACCTTTAGGTTAGTAGTTGAGTGTAACATCTGCACCACCCAAGGACCTCTACATGGGACCAATCCAAGGAGGATTAATTATTCTGAGATTTTCTATGTGGATGAAGCTGTGAGGATATAGGTTTGAGCCCACCCTTAGCCACTTTGGAGTTTCCAGCCTCTGTGAGAACCAAACCAACACACAAAGAAGCAGAGATCTACCAATGATATTTGAGTTCCTGGACCCAGCCATTTCTGAAGCTTGGCTCTTGAACTTTACAGTTATATGAGCCAATAAATTCCATTTGGGGCTATAAATTGGGTTTCTGTCCCTTGTAACCAAGAAAGTTCTGAATAATATTTCAGGAGACTTGACCAAAGTCAACCAGCAAATCAATCATATAGGCGAGGCAAGAACACAGGATCTGATTGAAACTGTTGCTTTCAGTAAGGAGCTCTGGTGGTGCAGTAGTTATGGCATTTGGCTCCCTGGAAGAAAAATGAGGCAGTTTGCTTTTCTAAAGTTTACAGTCTTGGAAACCCTATGAGTCAGAATCAACTCAATGACAGTGTTTGTTTCGGGTTTTTTTGGTCCCTTGCAGTAGAATCCCTGCTCTGATTATAAAAAGACATTAATTTGGTTTATAATTAAATGTGACTGATACTAGTTTTAATAACTTCATAAAACCCCTCTGTGCCAGATTCTGTCAAGCTCAAGTGGGCACAGGAGGGGCAAGCACTAGACCTCTTACCTTCCTCTCCACTGTCCCCCCGGTCCCCATCCTGGCCATCCTGGCCATCTTTGCCAGGAAAGCCCATTCTTCCCACCATTCCTGAGGGCCCTGGGGCTCCTGGAGGACCGGGTGGGCCCTGAGGGCCAGGTAGGCTGCAGATGAGTTGAGGGGAGCCCTTCTGGAAGTCCCTGCGGGCGAAGGCACCAAGTAGTGGGTCAGTAGCACAGGGAAGGGCACAGGCCAAGAGCACCCAGGAGATCATGGTGGCCACCTGTGGGAAGTAAGAGATGAGCAGGTGAGTGCAGCCAATGAGCTGAGCGGGCAGTCAGTCAGAAGGAGATTCAGGGGAGAAAGAGGAAGCAGCCAGGATAGACCCAATTATAGTTCTGCCTCATTATAATTTTGTTTCTTGATCTTTTCTGCATCACATATAAATAACTGGACCGAATGTCATCAAATTTGGGGACACATTTGGATGAGCTAAGTCACACTATAGGCTTGATCAGTACTCAGAATACACTTTCAGGGGCCTTGGGGATTGAGACAGTCATCCCCTGGAATGGCTGAAATGGAGGCAGGACCTACAGCCCAGTAACTGCCAACTGAGAGAAGCCAGGAATGGAAAGAAATGACACAAGGTTTCACTTAAATATTCAACACAAATGGAAAGTTATGAGTGCAGAAATACTTCAAACTGCAGGGGATGATTTGCATTGAGCTGGTTGTCACAGGGGACTTGGCGTAGCACACTGGAGGGTGAGAAGAAGTGAGGGTGCAGTTACTTACTGAGCGTGCATTGTTACCTAAGCAACACTGGCAGCCCTAACAGCACCTCTTCCAAGTGCCTTCTGGCACTAGGCACAGGCTAAGACCTTCTACACATTACTTAATCCTCACAACACCCTAGGATAGACATAGATGGGATATGGAGGCTCAGGGAAGTTGAGCAATCTGCCCATGCCATGCAATTAGCAGGGGACAAGGCTAGGATTAAAACCAGGCAGTTCAGGCCCAGGAGCTGTGGCCTCCTGGCCCAGGCTACATACAGTGTCCCTGAGGCTGGGGCAGCAACAGCATGCTCACAACAGAGACAAGAGTGCCATGCTCTCAGAGATGATCTACACTCTGTGCAGACACAGAAACCCAGGTCCAGGAATCAGCCGCTAGCCCAAGATTTCTCAACAGTTGGCTTGGTCCCTTTGCAATCCAAAGCCTCTATTCCAAGAGTGGGGACCCACATTCTTGCTATGGAGATGACCTCAAAGTGATAACTTGCTATGTGATCTTAGGCAAGTCTCTTTCCCTCTCTGAGCCTTGAACAGTGAGGGGTTGGACTAGATTCAAAACAAACCAAACCATATACTGTTGAATCAATTTCAACTTATGGTGACTCCACATGTCAGAGTAGAATTGTACTCTATAGGCTTCAAATGGCTGTGATCTTTTAGAGTAGATTTCCAGGCCTTTCTTCCAAAGCACCTCTGGGTGGATTCAAACTGTCATTTTGGTTAGTAGCCTATTGCTTAACTGCACCACACAGAGACTTCTTGGACTAGATCAGTGGTTCTCATGCCTGAGTGTGCATCAGACACACCTGGAGGTCTTGCTAAATCACAGATTGCGGGGTTCCACCCCCAGCGTTTCTGATTCAGAAAGTCAGAGTAGGGGATACAATTTGCATTTTTTTAAATGCATTTTATTGAAATATAATTTATATACAGTGAAATGCACAAAACTAAAGTGGCATGGATCAATGCATTTTTTTTCGAGTGTTCCCTCCCCTCCTGTCCCACCCCTGATAAGCAACAAGGAAAGTTTCCCTCCATATATAAACCTTTCCTTGACCCTCTACAACAATGAACTAATGCTGTATTTGTCTTTCTGGGATTGACTTATTTCACTCAGCATAATGTCCTCCAAGTTCATCCATGCTATACGGTGTTTTGTAGACTCTACATTATTCTTTAGTGCTGCATAGCATTCCTTTGCATGTATGTACCATAGTTTGGTCATCCACTCTTCCACTGATGGGCACGTAAGTTGTTTCTATCTTTACAATTTCCATTATTAACATGTTTCCAGGAGATGGTGTTGATGGTGGTCTAGAGGTCCCACTAGAACCACTAGACTAGATTGTCCAAGGTTTCTTCCACCCTGATGCAGAGCCCTTCAGACTCCAATCTGCCCTCTTTCCAGATATGAGGTCTTCACCATTGCCACCAGCCTTCAATGACCTAATCAGAGCTTTCCAGCACTGGGAACTCCCTGGCAGCTGCAGTGCTGGTAGCAAGGCAGGGACATGGCCCAGATCTTGGCCTTTGGAGTTCACAGTTCCTGCCTGAGCCCCTAACTTCCCTTCCCTTTAGACCCTGCTTTGCCCACTGGCCACAGGGGCCTATCTAGGCCTCTGGGCTGCTCTGGCTACTGCCCTGGATGTAGGCTGACCGTTATCTCCTGGTCCCTCTTTAACTATGGAAACAGATGAAGGGGACGGGATACCAGGCCTCTCCTGCCAGGGAGAGGGGGAGACCACAGCACTGAACTGCCCAGGGACTCAGGGGCTATTTCACCTCTAGCTGTGATGCTCCCCAGCTCTGTGACCTTGTGCACGTCACTTTTCTCCTCTGGAACCCAGGGGATTTCTCCAGATAAATATCAGAGAGGTGCTACTGGCCAAGTAGAGATGACTTGGGCAGTCCATATACTGTTTTAAATAACATTACACCCTATAGAAGGAGCCCTGGTGGCACAGTGCTTAAGCACTCAGCTGCCATCTGAAAGGTTTGAAACCACAAACATCTCCATGAGAGAAAGACCTGGTGATCCACTCCCATAAATAGTACAGCCTAGAAAACCCTATGGGACAGTTCTACTCTGTCTGATAGGGTCACTATGAGTTGGAATCATCACAGCAGCACCCAATACCCTGTAGTTAAAAAGTTATTTTCTTTTCAATTCCCTCAATCCTGATTAAGTCAAGAAAAATGTCTTAGCCTGGTGATAGTTTATCTTTAACACCTCTATGCCCCTTTTTAACATTCTTCTGTAGCAAAGAGCAGCCTCATTTGTAGCGATGTATATCCATTCTTTTTCTTTTCTTTTTTTCTGCTTCAAGATTAGAAAGATATTCTCCTATATATAAATATAAATATATATATTCCACTCCCCATTTCATGCATCTGTTCTTAAAGAATCTTGGGCAGGCTCCCACAGATCTACATGGAGTCCCTAGCCAACCTCCAGGCAGGCACATAGAGTCAGGAACCCTGAAGCAAAGCCTATACTAAGATGCAAGGAAGGCCTGTGGCACTAATGGAAGAAAAAGATGGAACAGAGGTAGAAGTTAGCTTTAGAGAAGTTTCAAAGAATTACTTAATGGATGAATGTCAATCCAAAAAAACCAAACCAGTTGCCGTCAAGTCGATTCTGACTCATGGTAACCCCACTTGTGCAGAGTAGAACTGCTCTATAGAATTTTCAAGGCTGTGACCTTTTGGAAGTAATCATGAGGGCTTTCTTCCGAGGCACCTCTGGATGGGTTCACACCACCAACCTTTCAGTTAGCAGTCAAGGACTTAACTGTTTGCATCATCTAGGGACCCCCAGTGGGCTTAAAAGAGATATTTCCACCAAGACACATGAGATGTTGCTCTCATCCTGACAAACTAAGGGTCAGCTCAGAGTGCAGAGTTTTTAAAGGGAAATTTCAAGAGTCCATCCCTGATTCTAGGCACCCTCATCAGATTTAGGATTTTAAAATGTTGCCTATGCCTTTGGGAGAGTAGTGGGAGAATAAACATGTCTGAACCTGCTTGGGACAGCTAGAGGGTAAGAGGCTGGCTTGCTGACTGGGTGGAAGGGGAAACAAAGGCAGCTCACTGCTGCTACATGGGAAGGGGCTACCTTCTTGCCCTCCGTGGTAGATCAAAGGCATGAGACATCTGTATTACAAGTCAGCCTGGGCCAAAGGGATCCTGCCAGAAGTGAGGGATCTCAACAGTGATAACCATGTGGAGGGGTACCAGAAAGCCAGAAGCCAAGGGGAGGCCTAGACTTGCCAGCTAAAGAAATCTGTGCATTGCCACAGGTCAGAGAGCCTGTGAGGTGAAGAATGACTATACTCAAAGAATTTGTCCCTGGTTCCTGGGAACCAACCTCATTGACAACATTGTAAAGGGAAGAGGGAGGCAAAAATTAAGTTGCATTTGATTGTATCTCTGGAGTTACACTTGTTCATCATGAGTTGCATACATAATGGTAGAGGGACTAGGCAGATATGACAAACATGGTGAAAATGTTACATGAATGACAAGTACATCTGGAAAACTGTGATCTGTATGCCCCCTTTTGTTATTGTGTGCCATCAAGTTGATTCTCACTCATAGCGACCCTCTAGGAAAGAGTAGAACTGCCCTACAGAGTTCCAAGGCTGTAATCTTTATGGAAGCAGACTGCCTCATCTTTCTCCCATGAAGTGGCTGGTGGGTTCAAATCATCAACTTTTCGAATGGCAGCCAAGCACTTAGTCACTGTACCAGGCTCCTTAGACAGTCCGTAGGCTCTATACATTTCCATTTTCTTCCCACATCTTGGAGACAAGAGTCTCCAGGAACAGGATATGGTTACTTGGGAGCTGCTGCAACACACCTGGACCCCAGAAATTCAATTTCAAATTCTCTCAGGTTTGGGAAATGGTTTGGAAAGTTGCAATCTGCAAACACTTTGGACTAAAGAAAGAAGGAGGAAGGAAGAGGGTGGGAACAAGTCTCCAGGCTTAAGAGGATCCTGAGAACAGTTAGATGACAGGCACAGGCGGGCGGGAGAGAGAGGAACCATCTGTTTCCACTTACCTCTCCCCTTAGTCTTCTGACCTCCACGCCCAGCCCCATGGCCCCCAAAAGAGGGAGGAGGGCTTGCTCTCTGGCCCATGTCTGCCCTGCACTAGCTTCGTTGGACAGAGGGGACCCTGCTCAGTCACAGCTGGCTGAGTGCAGGCCCCAGAGCCTGGAGTGGATGGGGGAGGAGGGAACCTCTGAAACATGTGGGGAGGAAGAATTTTCTCCCAGCTGGAGCATGGAGGTTCCTGTAGCCCCAGAGGAGCCCTGGCAGCTTGAGCCAGGAACTATTTTGGAAATAAAGGCGGGGAGACTAGGTTTTGGTTCCAAACCTAAAGAGAGTGTCTTTGCTTCCATGTTACCTCAAAAAAAAAAAAAAAGGGGGGGGGGGCTCCAAATAGGCCTGTTCCCTGCTGTGTTCCCACCCTTCTGAATC